CCTGCTGTCCTAGTTATTTGTTTTCTTTCGAAACGGAGTTTCACTCTGTCACAGAGGCTGGAGTGCAATGGCACAATCTTGGCTCACTGCAACCTCCACCACTCAGGTTCAGATTCTCCTGTCTTAGCCTCCCAAGTAGCTGGGATTACAGGTGCATGCCACCACACCTGGCTAATTTTTGTATTTTTAGTAGAGATAGGGTCTCACCATGTTGGCCAAGCTGGTCTTGAATTCCTGACCTCAAATGATCCACCTGCCTCGGCTCCCAAAGTGCTGGGACCGCACATGGCCTGTCCTAGTCATTTCTAATATAGCATTTGTCCCAGGCAAAAGCATCTCAGACAAGTGTCCCAGTTTAGATGCAACATTATATGGTATATAGCACCTTTAACAACTTTTGTTGTATGATGACATACAGTTGGTTTATGGGGGGGACAAATCAGTATAACGTGAAGTTAACTTCTACTTTAAACACATTTAGTACATGATAGTAAAGTCACCGCAATGGACATAACATATTGAGATAATGGCTTTCACTCTTTTAGGAAAAAAAAGGACAAAACAAAATTATATTTTATCTATTGTGCAATATAAAATAAAATACTGCACAATGGGAATAATGCTAGAATTAGAGTCAAAAGGCCTGTTTAAATCCCAGCTCTGTCACTTGATAGAGAATATAAACTTGTGTTAAGTTACTGAATCTGTTTCAACCATAGCTTTCTCACTTGAGAAATGAAGAAGTGAGAATGCTGGCTGATCTCCATCTAAAGTCACAGTCCAGCTCTAAATATTCAATGATTCTATGATTCTGGCCTCCAAAATATTTTTTCAGACTAGACCAGTTGAGTTCTACTGGTCTAGACCAGTACTGACAGATTTTTTTTTTACAATTGCAAAATGCAACTTAGCATCTTCTCTCCCCGAACTCCTATTCCTGCTCAGACTTCTATTCTGTTCAGAGGTTGGGTCAAACTCTCATTCACCCAAGATGAAGGTCCCTATGTATTTTTAACTCCTCTGACACGTAATCAGCTGTCAAATCCCAGATTCTTAACTTCCTCAGTATCTTATACACTCATCTTTTTTTCCTTTCTCTTTTTTTTTTTCCCTTTATTTTTAGACAGAGTTTCACTCTGTTGCCCAGGCTAGAATGCAGTGGCACAAACTCAGCTCACTGCAGCCTCAAACTCCTGGGCTCAAGCAACTTCCCACCTCAGCCTCCCAAGTAGCTGGGACTACAGGTGCACACCACCACACCCAGTTAATTTTTAAAAATTTTTTTGTAGAGGCAGGGTCTATCATGTTGCACAGGCTGGTCTCAAACTCCTGGGCTCAATCCTCCTGCTTTGGCCTCCCGAAGTGCTGGGATTACAGGTGTCAGCCACTGGGTCCAGCCTCACTCACCTCTCTTTGCCACCACTTCAATTCAGGCCTCCATTGCCTCTTGCCTAGATCACTAGTTTTCTCCAATAAATACACCTGGTTAGTAATTCCAGACGAGAAGATTATTCTATCACATCAGTACCCAACAAAAAGCATGCAATAGCTCCCATACCTAAAAATTTATGCACAAGTTCCTCAACCTGACATTCAAGAACCTCTACATCTGGCCTCAACCAGTTTGCTACAAATACCTTATATAACCTGAACTACACACTGCAATATCAAAATCTCCTATACTTTCTGGATTTTTGTGTCTTTACTTCTTCTGTTGTTCTTACAATGCCCTTTTATCTGCCTTTCAAAATTGATTCTTCAAAGTTCAGTTATAATGGTATCGCCCTCACGTAGACATTATGGCTCCCATGATACTAACAGAATGTGACAATTTTAATGGCCAACTGTGAATTTTAAAATACAGTTTACCTATGATAGTAAACTACATTTATTACTTGTGCCAATGTTTAACTGGCACTTGCTACCAGCAGGCACACGGTCTTGAGGATTTGCAGCTTAGCAGAGTAAAAGGAGAATGGCAACATATCTTTGACATTCAGAAACCAGAGCTTCCAAACTGAGGATCTAGATAATAGGGTCTGGGCTTCCATGTTAATAAAAGATTTTTTTTCTTTTTTCAGACAGTTTCATTCTGTCCAGCAGGCTGGAGCGCAGTGGCACGATCTAGGCTCTCTGCCTCCCGGGTTCAAGTGATTCTCCTGCCTCAGCCTCCCGAGTAGATGGGATTACAGGCGCACGCCACCATGCCCAACTAATTTTTGTATTTTTAGTAGAAATGGGGTTTCACTATGTTGGCCAGGCTGGTCTCAAACTCCTGACCTCAAGCGATCCAACTGCCTCAGCCTCCCAAAGTGCTGGGATTATAGGTGCGAGCCACAGCATTTGGCCAAAAGATGTTTAAATTAACTCAACATCTGAAAGTCGGGGGCTTTCACATTACAATTCCTAATGAAGATCTAGAGCAGTGCTTCTCAGCCAGGGTCGATTTTTGCGCCACACCCAGGGACATCTAGCAATATCTGAAAGCATTTTTGATTGTCACAATTGGGCAGGGTGTGCTACTGCGGATGCTGAACATCCTGTGATGCACAGAACAACCCTCACAATAGTAAATTATCTGGTCCAAAATGTCAAGTGCCCAGATTAAGAAACGGATCTAGAAGTACTGCATGCATCTGTGGGTTCTGCCTACCAAAAGAAATTTTCCAATTTTTCAAGTTCAAAGCCTAAAAAGTTACTCCAATTACCAGTGATATGGTCTCCTCCAAGTTACTTAACCACCTTATACCTCAAATTCTACGTCTGTAAAATGGAAATAATACTACTACCTACCTCACAGGGTTTTTCAAGGATCAGATGAGTCCATGTAAAATCTTAGGAAAACTGTGCCAGGCACATAGTAAGCAATCAATAAATTTAACTACTTACTTCCCTGGCTTAGTGCCCAGTCCCGCATTTGAAATATCGAAAATGCTCAAAAAATGGTTACTCAATGAATACAATGCCTTGATTTCCTGGGGAGAGCACTAATGGGTAAAGACAGATACATACTTTTTTTGTGAAAAAGCAAACATAGCAAAAGATGGAGTTGAAGGAAGCATCTGCTCACTTAATCACTTCTCTCCTTCCTCAGAACACTTTTAACCTGCACGAAATGCACCCCCTCATTGGATCCTTAGTACACATTGCCTTACAATCTCTTTGATATTTGTTTTTCCTTTCATGCCTTCTGACCAATAGAATATCCTCAAGCACATGAATGGGATGGTATCTTTTGATTCCTACGTCATCTACCTAGTATTACTGTTATTTATGCACTTACGATAGTCTTTCTATTAGACTGTACACGCCCTCTGTGGACATGGACAGCACTTTACTCCTTTATATGTAACCCAAAGGGCCTAACAGACCTCAGCAACTGGCTGGCCCAAGCCGCTCGTTTTATAGATTGGACAGAGAGAGGCTAAGTGACTTGCCAAGAGTCAAGGTCATATTGCAAGTAGCAGAGCTGGAATTCAAACTCTGATAAATAGCCAACCTAGAGACTCGAGTTCTACCTAATATTAAAATTATACCTGTGGTACAGACAATTTTTAATCAAGTACTAGAGCACCTTCATAGGAATTAAACTGATATAGTTACCTGACAAAACAAAAATGGAAGGGGAAATAGACCTCCAAGCTCTGTTCTGCTGATACTACACTTTAATGGCTCAACCTGTTTTCTTTAATGTTTCCATATCTTAACATTTCCTTACTAGATTTTGACAATAAAATTTATGTAAATATACCACAAATAGTCAGTGATGTCAGACTTAATTTCCTTTAAATGATCCCATAATTATTTTGAGTAACAGAGAATCCCTTACTGGGTAAACCAATGATGCCTATCCTTCACCATTTGAATATATTCTTTAACGATCACCTGAACAGATTAGTATCTTATGAAACTCAATAGGCCAGCAATTTGGAACAATTCTACACAGTGCAAAATATTCAGACGATTTGAAATGTGAGTGTTAAAAACCCCAACGTAAACCTAAAACCTGCAATAATCAAGAGCAAACTACATTAAAACCTGAGATAACAAATTTTATTTTATTCTCAACAAGTGAAAAAAAAAATAAGAAAAAAAAAAGCTATTCACGGATTTGGTTAACTGGCTAAGTTTCCCTGAGTGTCCCAATATGATGCAAAAGAAAAAGGTGAATAAGAAAGGAAAAGACGGCAGGAAAGAAAATGAATGTGAAAAGGAGATAAATACAGTACAATTCCTTGATGCTTAAGCAATTACAGCTCAATGAAGCTAAATATTTCCATTCCATAAAGACATCGTTTAAAAAAAAAAAAAACAAAAATCCTCCCTCAGCGGTGATGCAAAAGCAGCAGGGCCCAAGAGGGCCCAACAAGAACGATAACCTCTTCTGGAGAAAAGATTTTTAATTATTTTACCAGCTGATAAAAAGAGCACACACCGAACACTGACAGAAATGGAGTTTCAAAGGAAAACAAAACGCAGCTTATGCTTGGTAAAGTTCAAGGACAAAACTGTTTCCAATGCAACAGAAAACGCCTGACTACAATGTGTTGGGGGGGGGGGCGGGGGAAGAAAATGCGAACACATAGTATCTTTTTATAAAGGCAACAATTTGAACTACAAAGTAATAACGGGGAAGCCAAAACAGTTTGACAGCCCGCCATAAGGGCCGTCTCAATCATGAGTCACACAATGCCTGCAACCATTTACAATAGTAATTAATGCACAAGTCCCCTAATTAAATTCTAAAAGGGTGAGAATGCTTTAACTAAGTTTACAAGAATTGCTTTGCGCTTTTTTTTTTTTTTAAAGAAAGAAACACGCGTAATTACGCATCTCCCCGCAATCCCTCCAGTATTCCCCCCAGGCCGCTTCTCCCGAATGTCTGCTCTCTGGGTGCGGAAGAAAATGACACGGGGGAACTTCTCAACCCAGAAAGGGCGAATCGGAGTAGAAATACACGATTATCATGGGGCGGGAGATGGAAAGCTCGCCCATCTTACCTGCTAAGATTTCTTTCTACGTCTTTGGTAGCTTTAGCTTCCAATTCTCTGAAACAAAAAACAAAAACAAAAACAAAACAAAAACACACACACAAAAACGAGATGCGCGTGAAAACGGAGCTGCTGCGGCAGAGGCTCGCGCCGGGGCCGGATGGGGGAGGGGAGGAGACGGGGGGAGGGGGACTCACAAAGCTGCGGGGCTGCAGCCCGGACTGCGGTCCGGCGGCGCGGGCGAGGCGCAAAACCCGGCCCGGCCCCTGCGGCGCGGCGCGGCGCAGTGAGGCTCCCCCGGGCCGCCCGCCCGGCCTCCGCAGCAACGTAGCCTGCGCCCTCCCGCCGAGGCCCGAAGTCTCGGGGACGCCCGGCGCCGCCGCCTCCGCCGCCACCACCGCGGTTGCGGGCCCTGCGGCAGCGCCCGCGGCTCCTCTCGCCCGCAGGGAGGCCCTCGTTCCGCTCACCTCATGTGTGTAAAGTGCACGAGCAAGTGGGGCGCGGCGAAGGAGGCTCGCGAGCCTCAAGCCCTCCGCAGCGCCGCGGGGAGAGGCCCGAGCCGCTGCACCAGCGCCATTTTCTACACCGACCCGCTGCCGCCGCCGCCGACACCGCCGCCGCCGCAGGCCCCAGACCGGAAGTGAATGCCCCACTCGGCAACCCCTTCCGGGGGCGCCGCGGCCACTGGCCCCCAAGATGGAGGCCCTAGCAACTGGACCCGCAGACGGGCAGGTCCTTGGCAACCGCCCCGGCGTGGCACGCTGCACCCAGCCGGACCTCCCTGGGGGTCACAGCCTCCGAGGCGCCCCGCGGAGTGGCTGGGGGCCCTGCGGAGCCCCGAGCCCAACCTTTTTTGGTGCGGCCGGCTCCGGTCTGACCGAGAAGGAGGGGAGTCCCTCCCCTCCTCCTCCTTTGCTGCGACACAAGTTTCCTACCCGCCGCCCGGCCCCTCCCCCACTGACACACGCCAAAAAAAAAAAAAAAAATGCCTAAAACGCAAATCCTACCCCAACCTCAGCCTGATGAGCCCGCGCTGCTTTTGAATTCAGCCACTTATAATTATTTTTGACCTTGGGTCAGTTATTTAACCTCTCTGCTTCTCTTTTCCTCCTCAGGTAAAGAATGCATACCTGAGGCGGGTTGTGAGGCTTAAAAGCGATTTTTATCCACCGACCTTTGACTCAGCAGTTCCGCCTGCACGGATTTTCTGCTCAGGAAATAATTCTGGGTATCTGCAAATATTTCACCATCGAGATACTAAGCTGTGGTATTGATGATGGTGAAAAATTGTAAACAGCCAAAATGTCCAGCGCTACTAGATGGCTTCGAAGACAGCTACTGGCATGTATTAGGACACTGTAAAAATGATGTGGAGGAATAATCCCGGTATGAGGGAAATGGTTGCAATAGAATAAGTGAAAAAGCAGGTTCCAAAGTAGCTCACACAGTAAGAAACACCTTAGTGCAGACACAGTAAGATACATACATGTGGATACACTATGATATGTATATATGTAGACGCAGATGCATATGTGTACATTAAAAGTATACATGTATACCTACATGTAGATAAAATAAGACATACATATCTGCAGGTAGATACAATATATAATACATGTAGATACCGTAAGATACATATTTTCACTTGCGTGTGTTCTTTCCAACCTTTCATCATGCTTTTTCTTCTAATTTAAAGATAATTCCTCCTCTGTGCTTAAAATCTATAACCTTTATACTTCCTCAGAAACCCCACTCTGTGGATCATCCTATTCTCCTTTTTCTAACCTAAGTCCTTCAACTGGCTTTATTTTTTTTATTTTTATTTTAGTATTATTATTATTATTATTATTTTTTAAGTCAGAGTCTCCCTCTGTCTCTCAGGCTGGAGTGCAGTGGCGCGATCTCTGCTCACCGCAACCTCCGCCTCCCGGGTTCAAGCAATTCTGCCTCAGCCTCCTGAGTAGCTGGGATTACAGACGCTCACCACTGCACCGGGCTAATTTTTGTATTTTTAGTGATAACGGGGTTTTGCGATGTTGGCCAGGCTGGTCTTGAACTCCTGACCTCGGGTGATCGCCCAGCCTCAACTGGCTTTACGACATGCTTGAATCTCTCCCATTAAAACAAACAAAACTTCCTTAGACATACTGGGTTCCTATCCTCTCCGAGAGGATAAGCTAGTAAGTGAATGCACAGTCATGAAACATATGCAGCAAAATGTTCACTGATGATGCCTTTTTTATTTTCTTCTTTTACTGTATCTGTTTTGTTGTTTTTTGCAATGAGCATATAAAAAACACTTTTTTAAAAAAAATCAGGTTTACAAAATGTAAAACGTAGTGGGCACCGAATAAATGCTAGTGACTTTCCTTTTCCCGCTATCATCCCTGAGGTTCACTTACCTATCCTCATATTTGTTTTTCTTTCGTAATCCTTTCCACTTAAAATGTTTAAAAAGTTACTACGGTATTTCATTAGGAGTTTAAAAATATGAACATATACTTATGGCACAATATGCTTTCGTACCAGGTTTAGGAATAATTTTTCACAACAGCATAAGGCAATGAAAACAGTCATATTTATCAACATTTGCACAGCTGTTGAGATTGGCTGATTTTTTTATTGGACTTTTTTAGGTTTTAATAACTCAGTGATTCTTAACTGGGACAATGTTGCCCCCATCCCTACCCCTGGAGACATTTAGCAATGAACTTTTTGGTTGTCACACTGGCCGCTACCGATTGGTATCTAATAGCTACAGACCAGGGATTCTGTTAAATATTCTACGATGCGTAGGACAGTCCCCTACAACACTGGAGTATCTGAACCAAAATGCCAATAGCACCAAGGTTGAGGAAGCCTGGAACTAATTCCCAGCTCCAGAGAAGCTAATAAGATGTGACTTCTTGGCCTGGTGCAGTGGCTCACGCCTGTAATCCCAGCACTTTGGGAGGCCGAAGTGGGCGGATCATCTGAGACCAGCCTGGCCAACATGATGAAACCTGGCCTCTACTAAAAATAAAATCTTAGCCAGGCATAGTGGCGCATGCCTGTAATCCCAGCTAATCGGGAGGCTGAGGCAGGAGAATCGCTTGAACCCAGGAGGCAGAGGTTGCAGTGAGCTGAGATCACGCCATTGCACTCCAGCCTGGGCAACAAGAGTGAAACTCCATCTTGGGGGGAAAAAAAAAAGATGTGATTTCCAGAAGGTTTGTCGACAGTGATTGGATGTCGCATCTGAGCCTTCCTGGGCTGCGGTGTAGAGTGTTCTGTATGAGGTCATGCTAGTCACTTTTAAATTATCTCTTTCTTAAACTTGGTGCATACATCAAAAAAAAAAAAAAAAAAAAAATGACAATATGAGATCAGCACTGATTCCTTATGTGGGACCCATTAAGGGATCTTTTCCTGTTACTATCTTTTCTTTTTACTAAGTAATCATTCTCTCTACTATTTCCCATCACCATACAAACTCATTAAAAAGCAAAAAGCCCAAACCTCCCTTGATGCATCATTCCTCTCCAGCTCCATTTTTCTGCTCTTGTTCCCAACAATGCTTTCTTGGGAAAGTGTTCAACACAAGCACCTTCACTGGCTCTCCTCCGTCTCCCAGCAATCTTTAACCTGATATCCCCATCCCTCCTCCAAAACTGCTCTTATGAAGGCTGCAAGTGACTTTGAGGGTGCCAGACTCAATGGAAATAGGTCTGTCTTCATCTTGATTTACTTCTTAGCTACATTTGCCACAACCTAACCCTCCCTCCTTCTTAAGAGAATCTCTTTGCTAGGACATCTTAACATTATATTCTTCTGGAGTTCTTTTTACCTTTCTAGCCTTTTCTTTTCTTTTCTTTTTTTGGTATGTTTTGCTAGCATCTTCTGTTTTATATCAAATAAATATTGGAGATCCCCCCACTCCCAAGGCTTTGTTCCAGACTTCTGTCCTTCCCTCTTCTCTACTGTCTCTTTAGGATAGGTAATCTCATTTATTCTGTTGTATTTAAGTACTCTCTGAATGCAGATGACTTGAAAATGTAAACCTTAAATTAACCCTTGTCTCACCTGTGTACCCTTGAATGCCAAAATGACAATTCATTCACACAATATTTATTGAGCACCTACTATGTGCGTGCCAGGCACTGTGCTAGGACTGCCTTCAACGCAGACAGATTTTTTTTTTTTTTTTTTTTTTTTTTTTTTTTGAGACGAAGTCTCGCTCTGTCGCCCAGGCAGGAGTGCAGTGGTGCAATCTCGGCTCACTGCAAGCTCTGCCTCCTGAGTTCACACCATTCTCCTGCCTCAATCTCCGGAGTAGCTGGGACTACGGGTGCCCGCCACCATGCCCGGCTGATTTTTTGTATTTTCGGTAGAGAAAGGGTTTCACCGTGTTAGCCAGGATGGTCTCGATCTCCTGATCTTGTGATTCGCCCGCCTCGGCCTCCCAAAGTGCTGGGATTACAGGTGTGAGCCACCACGCCCAGTCTTTTTTTTTTTTTTTTTTAGACATAGTCTCATTCCATCACCCAGGCTGGAGTGCAGTGGCATGATCTCAGATCACTGCAATCTCTGCCCCCTGGGTTCAAGCGACTCCCTTGCTTCAGCCTCTCCAGTAGCTAGGATTACAGACTGTGCAACCACATCTGGCTAATTTTTGTATTTTTAGTAGAGACGGGGTTTTTACCATGTTGGCTAGGTTGGTCTCGAACTCCTGACCTCAAGTGATTCATCTGCTTTGGCCTCCCAAAGTGCTGGGATTACAGGCATGAGCCACTGTGCCTGGCCGATTTTTTTTTTTTCTTAAGCAAACAAAAAGTGTATAACTACAAACTATGGCAAGTGCACCGAAGGATAGGAATGTTGCTCTAAGAAAGTGTAAAACAAGGGAACACAACATTGACTATGCAACAAAGAACGTTTCTTTGAAAATGTAAAGCTTCACCTGAGAATGGAGAGAGGAGCTGGGGAGCAGGAGAGGAGCGGGTCTCCGGCTGGAGGGTTACATTTATGGTTACATTTGTGGGTTATCAGTGCAGAGGGAAACAGGCTTCATACTGTATTTGGCTTTGAATCTGCCAGACCGAGGCAAATGGATTGCTGGAGCGCAGGAGTTCGAGATCAGCCTGGGCAACATGGCAAAACCTCATCAATTTAGCCAGGTGTGGTGGTGTCCATCTGTAATCCCAGCTGCTGGGATTACAGAGCCTGGGCCGAGGGGTAGGTTGCAGTAAGCCAAGATAATGCCACTGTACTCCAGTCTGGGTGACAGAGTGAGACCTTTTCTCAATAAATAAATGAATCTGCTAATGTTGTCATTTTCATTTTACTTGCATCAATCCATTAGGAATGGAACCAGAAACAAGGTCCTATAAAGAGAAACAGGCTGTACAAATTTAATTTTAAATAAGCCCTTTTTCTCCGTTTGTCTTTGTTCCTATGGCTTTTGAAGTTATCAGGACATAAATGTTCTCTAACTTCTCCTCCTTCTCTTACTAAGAAGGGCAAATGATGAGCCTAACACTTTGGAAATTACGTACTTGAAAGAAATGATTTTGTTTTCCTCCCAAGGCTTTACCAAACACCATTGTGAGATATATAAGTATATTTTTAGGCAAGGTTTGTGCATAATATTTTTAAATTTTAAATTTTTTTCACAATAATGTATAAATATGAACATGGATATGAGTTCCTGGAGAGAATGTATTTATTTATTTATTTATTTATTTATTTATTTT